CCAACCCCAACCCCAACCCCAAACCCTTGAAAACACACAATAGAGCATTCACCGGGGGTCAATCCTGCAGAACAAGACTAGCACAACAATTGGGCTATCACTAATTTTATTATTAAAAGCAATAGATATCCAAAACCATTCGCTAGGTAATATATATGAATATAATGTAGTTGATGGAACTTAGTAAATCACTGTAGACTTACCTTTATATTAAACTACTTACATAAGCACTACTGATTGGATTGATATTGATAATACTGTTCTTGGTTTGCAGGTTGAGATAACAGCAGAATGTCTAGAGGATTATCTACATGATAATTGGTTTTTAGGATCAGTTACTGATAATCAGAAATATATAGAAGATTTTTTTTACTGCTCAGATGACTCCAATATAATTAAATATGTTATCAATCTAAGTGATGGTGGAAGACTTGAATATAAAAAAATTAAATTTGTCATAACCTCAACGAGTATAGAAATGTACTAGCAACTTGACAATGTTTATTTTGATGAAGAATAAAGAAACATAAAAATAGTTATAAGCTAAGTTAGATGATTATAAAATTTATAAATATATAAATTAAAACTATCTATTTTTAAACAATTAAAGAAACAATTGATGATTTAAATAATTTTTGATTGATCTCAAAATAATATAACCACAAAATTGATGAATCTTTGTAACATTACCCTAACAAATTGAAAATCATATTTTAATTAAAAAAATTAAATCTTTTCAATTAACTATTAATGATCTTAAAGAATTGTAAAATAAGTAAAAAACAATACTAATAATTGTCTTAATTTTTTAATAATGATAATTCTATGCTTCTATTTGTAATATATCAACACTTTAATTACAATATATTTTTGAATCTATTAACTCTAAATATAGATCTAGATAAATATCTGAATAAATTATAATCAAATCTCTATAAAATGATTTAATGCTTATCAAATAATAGTAATTATAACAATCGTATATATTGTTATATATTGATAGAAAATTTTTTGAAAGAAAAATAATTTAATTAAGCAAGAAGAATTTGAATAATTTAAAAGTTTCTCTAATTATTTTAGACTTTTAATAAATATCTATAATGCTTGCCTAAGAATTTAACGAGAAAAAAGTCAATAAAATTTTTTATAATATGATGCAAATAAAAATAATTAAGTATATAATCTCATGTATTATTCAAACAAAAATACGAAGTACTTTGTGGGTTAATTGATTGTTATAGTACTGAATTTAAACTTTAATTTAGTAATATTAATTTATCTAGAACAAATTATTTAAATATTTTATTTAGAAATGAATTTTTTAACAATTATGAAGAATTGATATTTTATAACAATTTAATCAAATAATAGTTTTGTAAAACAGATTAATATATTTTTAATCAGTAATATTATTTTGAGTTTATCATTAAAACCTATTTTGGATGATTTAAAAGTTGATGAGTTATTAGAATATTTAAATGGGGGTCCACCAAAAAGTTCAAATTAGACTCTATCAAATTCTTTAAATTCATTTTATTTATAAAATGTTTAAGGTTGTTACTTTTCAGTTTTTGGTTCATTAATAACTTATTTACTTCGACTATTAACATTTTTAAAGAACATAATAAATAAGTATAAGAATATTCCCAAAATATAAATAAAATTATAAATACCTTCGTTTTGCTTTATTTTTTGAAGGGAAAATACAGTTCTAAATTTAGAAAGGAATATTAATCCTTGGGATTACCTAAAGTATATTTTACTATATTGCATCAATTCTTTTTTTAGTGCCTTGCTATAATTTCCAAATTATAGTTTTAAATCTCTAATTATGATTTTTAAGAGCATAAACGCAATTATTGGGTTAACTTTTTTACTTTTATATAAGTTTATAATTATTGTTAATAACCTCAACCCATAAAAAAGATAGACAAAAATGGAAATATTTTTTTAAGATTCATAGCCTTACTTTTGGGCTTTCAATTAGAAATCATTCTAGATTTATCGAATAATGTTTTCTATAATTATGATTGTTGAAGCAATAAATTATCATACTTAATCAAATTTATACTTTTTTAATTTAAATATGAAGAAGGCAAACTAAACTCTAGAGAGTTTTTTTTATTCCTATTTCAGGTTCATATTAGGTATTTAGTTTTCGACTCAGTTATAACTAACTCTTATTTTTTGGATATGCATAAAGAAAGCATTCTCAAAACATAAAAGAAAATAAGAAAAATGGAAAAATATATAAATTAATCAATCCTCTCTAAGGATTAATTATAATAGACCTAAATTAACAGTACAACGGTCCTAAAGATAAATTTAACAAATGATATATATATCAAATAAAAAATTTATTAATATGTAATTTTTTATATTTTTAAATTTTGTTTTGTTTGGTTCAAATAACAAACTCAATATCATTTTTGAATACGTTTTATAACTTATTAATTTTTTTTAACATATTTATAGTTATCTTTTGATAAAATTTCATAGATATATATATATACATATATAATAGAGTTTTTAAAGAATTAATAAATATATATAATTAATCTAGCTTTCTCAATTCTAAACTGAAATCATAAAAAAATTTATTAATCAATACATAATTGTATTTTATAATCTGATAATCAAAAATTGTTTAATTTTTTCTTTATGCGCTCAAATTTAAAAAATATTTTGGAAGAGTGTTTATTTCTTTTGATTTAAATTATTTTATTTTTTTATCAAATGTAATTTAATCATATAATTATCATTACGTATTCTAAAATGCTCATTTTTGATTTAATTCATTTTTTGAGAATTATCTTTTTAAATTTTGATTTTATTAAATTTATATCATTATTTTAAATATGTCATTTATATAAATATAGGAATCATAGAAATTGGTTAATTATTTGAATTCTCACCCAGGAGTGTTAGTTTTTCTTGATGTAAGGGTTGCATAGATTAAAGAAGTTTAAATGCTAGTACAATAAAAATATATAGTTTAATTTAAGTAAATTCGTCATCAACCTATTTTAGAAATACAAACAAAAAAATTGCTCTTCATCTAAAATCTTAAGCCTTTGTAACTAAGGTATCATTATATAAATATACTTTTTAGGAACATAAACTAGAGACCGATTACTTGATTGCGTAAAAGATGTCATCTCATAATTTTCCAGTAGAGAGACCTTTTTTCTTTTGTGATGATAAATCTATTATTGGAGAAGAATTTTATGCAACAGAGTACTTTGAAGGGAGAAGGTTTGGGAATTAAGAATTGATAAATTTGACATTCGAAGAAAAGAGAATAATTTTGATAGAATGTGCAAAAACATTAGCTTATTTGCATTCAATAAGCTTAAATTAACTAGGTCTTGGAGAATAAGAGGATAAAAGCAATCACTATTAAATAATATGTAAGTAATTATTAAATTCATATAAATAAAATGAAACAAAAATATCAACCAATATTGAAGATATATTGTATTGGTTACCTATGAATATTCCAACAAAATAAGAACTTGATAATCTTTGTTTAATTCATGGTAACTTCTAATTTTAGAATATATTATTTCATCCAACTGAGCCTAAGATTCTTGCTATATTAGAATGGTAAGGAGCATAAATAGGGAATGCTTTTACAGATTTAGCTAATTTGATATCTCCCTACTATATTCCATATAATAATGAAATTTATGAATATAATGGATGGTAAGGAATTGAGACATTGATAGGAATCCCAATATTAGAAGAAGTAGTTAATTCATACTTCAATGCTAGAAATAGTTTTGAAATTCCAGATATCAGATACCAAGTGATAATATCTATTTTGGCAAAGTCGATTGATTAATAAATAAAATACAAAATATCAAAGGATAAGTAATATTAAATTAATTCTGAATTTCTTTCTTAAGCAGGATATTCAGTTATTTTAAATAAAACTGACTAAGATCCATTTGGAATAAGGAAAAGAGCTTTATCTGATTTTTCATTATGGTCAAGTTGGCCAGTATCTGACAGATGCAAAAGCTATTATTATAGGATAAAGGATTTTTTAATAGAGAATGTATTTCCAATTGAAAAAGAAATTTTAGATTAAACTAGAATTAGACCAAATTCAATATCAAATAAAGGAATTCCTGAAGTAGAAGCTTTATAGAGAAAGGCAAAGTAATTAGGATTATGGAATTTATTCATATCTGAACCTTTATATGGAAAAGGACTTACAAGTTTAGAATATGTATTTTTATCAGAATTAATGGGATTAAGTTATTTGGCTCATGAAATCTTTAATTGTTTTGCTCCAGAAACTGGTAATATAAAATTACTGATTGGTTATGGAACTTAATTTTAAAAAGAGAAATACTTAAAACCATTATTAGAGGGAGAATGCAAATCCTTTTTTGCAATGACAGAGAAAAGAGTATCTTCATCGGATCCAAATAATTTTGAATTAACTATTACTCCAATAAATGGAGGTTTTATAGTAAATGGAGGAAAGTGGTTTGTATCTAGTGCACCAGATGAAAGGGCTAGATTTGGAATTGTGATGGGCAAATCGTCTAAAGATATGTAAAATCCTTTAGAATCATAATCTATGATCATAGTTGACATGCCCAATCCTAATATTAAGATACTAAGACAATTAGAAATTCTAAATTTTAATGATTATCCTCATAGCTATGCAGAAATAGAATTTGATAATGTTTTCATTCCATAAGAAAATCTTTTAGGATAATTGGGAGGTGCTTTTAAAATGGCTTAAGGAAGGTTACTTGGAGGAAGATTACATCATTGTGTTAGATAGATTGGATTAACTAGTAGATGTCTAGATTTAATGATGAATAAATCAGAATCAGGACTTGTTTTCAATTAAAAATTGAAAGATAATAATGCTTTTTAAGAGAAATTAGGTAAAATGAAAATTGCTATACAAAATTGTAGGCTATTAAGTCTTAATGCAGGATTATTATTAGATTCTGCAGGATCATAAAATCTAAGAACTATTATGGCTGTTAGTTTATGTAAAGCTCATATACCCAAAACGTGCTAAAAATTGATAGATTAATGTATCCAAGCTTTTGGTGTTGAAGGTTTAACAGATGATCATCCACTAACTGTCTCTTTCATATTTGCAAGAGCTATTAGACTTATGGATGGACCTTGTGAACTTCATCTTAAACAAATTGCCAAATTTGCTTATGTTAATCATCTATTCAATGATCTAAATAATGTTCAAGGATATGGATTAGCAAAATTGTGACATATATTTTATAACCAATAAAATATATAAAACAAAATTTTATTATTTTTATTTCACTTTTATAACATTTTTTTCTTGAAGAGCATTAATTCTGCCTTGAAAAAATTAGAGGAAAGGATAATTTAAACTATAATTATTAAGTACCTAGTAAATTCTACATTTTATTAATCATTATTAGAATTTAATCCACTATTTTTTTTTCTGATTTTAAAATCATTTATAATTTAATTAGAGATTTAATTTAGTATTAACCCGATACATACAACCATCTCAATACATTGGTAGAGAAGAAATTAAGAAGAAAATTATTATCGAATTAACGAATTATTGAATATTAAATGGTAAAAGACATTTTAATCATTTCAATTTTTCCAATTTTTTACTTTTTTAGGTTTAGAATTATAATAATTTCAATTTATTATATTATTATTGATTTATTTAATAAATTGAGATTAAGCCCTATCTTTCTAATCTTATGATTAAACAGAACTTTTCATTTATTTAAAGCTCCCTTTCATTGTAGGTATAAAATATATATTTTAAGTAGTTTATTGAAATTTATCTGTTTTTTTAGAATCGTATTGTGTTGAAGCATGGGATTCTCTTTTTCTGTTAAATTTGATTCATCTTCTAATTATTCCTTAATTTCATTTACTTTACTATATTTCGAATTTTAAGCAGAGAGATCTAAATTTTTTTATATATTATATTAAGCTTTAATCTTAATTATTCTCCTTCATAAATTAAAATTCCAGAAGCATTTCATCAAATCCCTACTTAAAATCATCATAATAATCATTTGATAATAATACTAAATGTTTTTACAAATTATAGATATGCATAGCAATAATATAGAATCAATTAAGGAGAGTATGGAAAAAACCTTTATTAAATTGCTGATGCAAATGCTGAAAAGATCATAGAATTATCCTAGATATTTTAGGAATAATTCTTTCAATATAACTTATATAGAGATAAGGAAATAAACTTATTTAAATTAAATTATAATCTTGAAAAATAACTGAATTAAATTTTTTGTATACTTATTCAAAATATTCATAATGTTCTTTTTAATAATCAGTTACATTATCTTATAATAAAAATTTAACAAACTGAATTATGGAATGTTACAATTTAAGATAATTTAAAATAATAATGAAAAAGTTTTAGCAGATTTATATAAATTTCTAAGACTTTATTCATTTATAGAATTCTAAATCATGTATGTGTAAGGTTTATGTTATTAACAATAATTTTTTGTTATATCTAAATACTTTATATTGATATATTAGTATACATTTCATTTAATCAATTAATAAATTAGGAATAGTTAAATATTAAATATAATAGGAATGCTTACTTTTTAAACTAGAAAATGAATTGAATCTAATAATGATTGGATATATATCATGAAAATTCAAATTATTAAATATAAAGGACAAAAGCTAGCAAGTAATATTTGACTAAATAATTTGATTAAAAATAATTAATAATATTTCTGCAAATTTATAAGTAAGGAGATAGCAATAAGATATATATATTTGTTAAATTGTATTAATTATTCTTAAGTGAATTAAATGTCATGGTAATATTTTGAATTTAGGAATGTTAGAGATTAGCTGAAATTCAATTAAAACTATTTTTTTGAGTAGAAAAATCATGTGTTGGTTATATAATTTGATATTTTTAGTTGCACTTTTAATATAAATTACTTTAAAAATTAAATGTAAGAATCATTATTCATGAAGCTATCTAATTTATATTTCGCTTGATCTTTTATCCCAAAAAACTAAAAATTCTCCATCTTAGCTCAATGATCCTCCTCTTAGATAATCTCCTTTAAAATCAATTATTTCCTCAACTTAAAAATAATTTAAAGCTTCTCTATATCTAATAATTTGAATTTAGTGGCCATTTTTACTAATTAATAAGCTTTTATTTGAATTAAAAATACAAGGAAAGCGAGGATCACATGTTTGGCCTTCACCTGAAATAGAAAACTCTTCATTTTTTTTAAAGTTGGATGAATTGGAATCAAAAACATAAATACTTAATTTTGATACAGATTCTTATTGAAATACAAATAAATCATTTGTAATAAAACTTAATCTATATCCTCTTTTTTTAACATCTATTTATTATTATACTAACCATACTGAATGACTTGATAATACCATAACTAATAATTTTTAATCATTTCCACTAGAAATTAATTTAGTTCCATTTTAATTCATTGACAATGCCCAAACTGTATCTTAATGATTATTAATAATCTATTTACATCTCCATGTTGGCCATTAATTTGAGATTGAATGAGAAGACCAAAATCTAATAGTTTTATCATGAGATCCACTGATTATCATATCTTGAAAAGGATGAACTATTATACATCTAATATAATTTGAATGACCATCTAATATTACTGAAGATCTCCATCTTAAAGGTTTATTTTAAGATGATGAAGGAGACTAAATTATAATTTTTGAATCTTGAGAACCTGATATAAAAGAATTTCTCAAATATGATGAATTATTAAAAAAGTTTAATGTAGAAACTTTACATGAATGCTCATCAAAAAGATACTGATTCAAATCTAAAGATTATGGTTAATTTTTTTCAGTATTTGATAAATTTAATTCAAAAATCTTAATATGTTAATTTGCTGCAGCCACTAAAAGAGTATTATCATGATTTATAGCTATAGCATAACATTCTTCTTATTATTTATAAGATACTTCTGTAATCTTTTAAATAAATAGCTTTCGTTTTTTATTTTCTTTTTCCTATTCTTTTATTATTAATTTTTCTTAAGGTTATGTTTTCATTTTCTAAGTTTATTGTGGGGAAAATGGAACTTATTTATATTTTTAAGGTGATTAATTATTTATTTTCTTAGTGGATACAGAAGGAGTATGAATTGAAAATAATTATTATGATTTTTTTTGTGGAGAATTCGGAGCTGTCTATGAATTATTTTATATTGGCATCTCTTCAATTTTCAAAGATTTTTTCAAAATTTCTTACAATTTTTTATATATTTCAAACACTTTAAATTACTCTAGTTTTGTTAACATTTTCTTCTTCCAAATATTTTAAATTGAATTTATTTCTGGTTTAATCAAAAATTCACCATTTTCATTTTTAATCAAATTATCTAATTCTTGAAAAAAACTGAATTAGGAATATTTTTATCCTAAAATGTACAAATTATTAATTTAATCCCTGCAAATCTCTAATAGAAAATCTAATTATTAAAAGAGTTGTGATTTTAGATTGTGAACGATTATTTGAAATTCTTCAATCTATTAAATTAAAATAACAGCAAGCTTTTCAAATTCCTATAACTTTTATATTTATTTTTCCTCTAAAATTTAAACTACTTTTTAGAATCCCATTAATTTTGAGTCTCTATCATATTCAACAGAGCATTAAGTGCATAATAATCTTTCATTACACCTTATACTAGCATCCATCATTACTGAACATATAGGAAGTTAAATTTATCTATACATTTAAATTTTTAAGGATTCTCAATCATTGTAGGTTTGAACATATAACGATTAATTATTATTAAGAATTATTATAAAAACTTAAATATTAAAAATTTTAATTTAATTCTATTTAATTATCAAATTTCGTAATGTATTAGAATATATAGCTAAAGTTTCTAACTACCCAGTTTTATACTATTTTATTGTATTAAAAAAAAAACTCAATTATCTTATTATTCTTTACATTTTTTTCTATAAACTTTCCATATACCAAAAAAAAATGTTCAATTATTAGTTAGAAGGTATTTAGTTACTTTCATTCCTTTCCTCATAATTTTCTACTCCTCTTTTATTAAAAAAATAATCAATATTTTCAATCCTATATTAAACTTAACTGGCTTTAATCATTAATTAAGGTATAATTATTTCATACTAAAATTAAAATTATTAAACATAGATTAATTTTTTATCATCTATTATTTATTAAAATATTTATTAAAGAATTTCAGTAGAAAAATCTATCTATTTTTAGAATTTTTTTAAAATATTGATTTTAAATAAATATCAACAAAATGTGACATAATTTCAGTTAAGGAGCAGTTTAAACAGAGGAAGGAGGTTCATACAATCGAAAAGAAAATCGGTATTATATTTTTTTGTTTAAAAATTTATATTGATTAATGTTGTCATTAAATAACTCAGATAATTTGCAAATAATTAATCATTTTTTGCATTTGTTATGATAATAGACCAATTTATGTTTTTTTTTTCATTTTCGGTTCAATTTTCTAAATTTGTATTTAAATATTGTTTAAATTATATTTCTTTCAATTTATCTTTTTTTATTTTAAAGAGTATCATCAGGGATGTTTTCTTTTTATAAATTAAACAATTTAAAGATAAATTTAAGTTAATTATTTTCTTAAAACAATATTAATAATATTTTATTTTTGGGAATAATAATTAATCAAAAAATACTTAAATATTTTTTTTCATTAAAACATAAAATTTATGTAGAAATAGTTTTTAATATGATATTACTTACAATCAATTTATCTTTGGAGTTTTACTGTGAAATATATCATATTTTAAGAAATCTAATCATCTCATATATATTTAGTTGGTATTATATTATATCTAATACTATTCACCTAAATGAACAATAAAATCATGAATCAAGTTAAGCTTTTTTTTCCACATATGTCACTAATTCATTAATAGAAGTTTATTAAATAATGATATTGTTGATATTTAACAAGTTCTGATATCTAGTGTTAATCTAAATTTCCATAATGCATTTTTTCCTAAAAAAAACATTAATAAAATTTTAATTTCCAGATAAGTCATTTATTATTATTTTTAAAATTATGAAAATCAGCCCTTGTATGTATTAATTTATTTATGATGATTGTAGTTGTAGGGATAGTTAATGACAAATTTATAATCAAAATTAAGATAATTCAAGAAAACTGATTGTTTATAAAAGAGGTTTGACAACTATTTTAGACTAAATGTTTGAAAAATATTCTATAAAAATAAAGATTTATTTTTAGAAGTAATTTTGAAATGATAATGAATTAATTTATGATTTTTTATAAGTATATTTAAAGTTTATTCTTTTTAAGTCTCCTCCTTATTCATGATTTATAAGATTTTATTGCTTATAAGTTTTGTATTATTCTCTTCAATTTATTAAAATTTTTGGATATTATGCATATAAAAGCATAAGAGGCTTTTAAGTTAAAAAGTTCAGAGCTAAATAATAAGTTTTAAAAAGAGCCTTTATGTTGAATGTAAAATACTTTTTAAATAGGAAATAAAATCATTCTAAAAAATTACATATTCTTCGATCAATTCGAATTTTGGTTTCATGAAAATATTATGAAAATAAAAATAATAGGTTTTATTTTATTATCATTTTCCAAAACATTATAAAGAATATTTAATAGGTCTATACAAATTTTGATGACATGAACCAACCATATTAAGCAATTTTATGATCTTATTTAGGTGTACCATACTATTTCCATGTTATTTTTTTTAATTCATTACAAAATGATTTTAAATGCTAAGGTTTTATAAAACATCTTGCTCAAGCTCTCAATATATAAATAGGAGATTATTGAAGCCTAAGGTGTGAAATAAAAATGGAAAGTATGTAATTGTATTGTTATAAGAATTAATAATTTTAGAAGGAATATATGTCTGAATATGTAATAATGAATATATTGTACATATCAATGAAGAGATCATGATTTTAAGAAAATATTGATGATTAATGTATTAAATTGACTATAGTTAACCTATATTTTAAATCAAATAATAATAGAAATAAATGACATTCTTTTTTAATAAAAAATATTCAAATCTTATTGTAAAAATGTCTCTTGTCATCATATTTTGGCTTGTTAGCAAAACATTAATATAAACAACAACAATTTTCTGTGAATGTGTACATCTAAAAGAGAAAGAAAATTGTGTGAATTCTGGAAAATGCAGATGGAACGAAGATGATTAAAGTTGTATTGAAAACACAAGATTTTAAACATAAAACATAGTTTATACATATTGTTCTTAATTTATAGAGGATGAATGTATATATGAGAATAAATGTGCATTTCATTTAGGTAAATGTATAGAGTTTAAAAATTGTGAGGCATTTACAAAGGAGAAATGTAATTAATCTTCTTATTACTGCATTAATGAAGGAAATAAATGTATATCAAAAGGATTATGTTCAGACTATTTAACTTAAATTGCTTGTTAGAATAAGAATTCTTAAGGAAAATATTGTAAATGGATACATCAGGATGATTAATATTTCTGTGAAGATATTAAAAATTGTGAAGATCTTCCAAGTTTATTGAAATTTGATAGAGATTGTCGAGAATAAATAAAAACATGTACTATTTCTCTGAATGGTGGTTGCTAGATATCATCATAATTTTGTAGTTAATATAGATATTAAGAATAATGCTATTTTAATTTTAATTAAGTAGAATGTTTTTGGGATGATAATTTGAATTAGTGTTTTGAAAAGATTTGTAAAAATTTATAATCATCTTTATTTGAAGAATGTTAAAAGATTTAACCTATTTGTACTACAAATGGAGTATAGTGTATAGAAAAATTAAATTGTAATTAATATTAAAATTCAAATTCATGTATTGAAGATTTAGAAAGAAATAAATGTATTTTTTATAAAGATAGATGTTATGAATAGAATTGTAGGAGTGCTCCAAATTTTATTAGTACATTAATGGAATGTTAATTTTTTGAATTTAAAGATGTTAAATGTATTCCTAGAAAATAAGGAGGATGCAAAATAATTCCTTAGAAATGTGATGAATTAGAAACAGAAGATTCATGTAGAATCATTTAAGAATTAAATGGTAAGTAATGTTATTGGTAATAATAATAATAGATTTGTAAATTTAAATAATGTTCTGATGCACCTACAGAATATAATCACATAAAATGTATAAGTTGGTTAAGTGATTATGAATGTATTGGAGGAATTGAAAATGGTTGTATAGAGAATGTTGATGATTGTACTAATATTATAAATTTAAAGAGTTGTTTTAAAGATAAATTTAATAGATAATGTGTAATTGAAAATGATAAATGTGTAGAAGAAAAATGTTAAAATTTTAAATTTCCATTTTATGATAATATATATGCTTGTGAAAAGAAATTAGAAATCTGTACTTATAGTCTATATCATTAAATGTGTATTAAGAAAGAGTGTTCAGAATTAGAAAATAGATAATGCAATTTTGATTATTAAATGAATAAATGCATATAATTACCTGGATGTATTCATAAGAAATGTGAATCTGCTTCTATTTATTACAGAACTAATGAAGAATGTGAAAATTGGGATATTAGATGTACAATAAATGCTGGAATAATTAATAATATTAACTATTAAAATGGATGTATTACTAAACATTTAGATTGTATAGATTTTAAATATTAATCATAATGTTTAACACAATTATAAGGAATACCATGTTTTTGGAATTAATCTATTAATTAATGTTAATTTCATAATTGTCAGAATGCTCCAAAAAGTTTAAAAACTTTAATTGAATGTTAATAATGGGTTCAATATCATAATATAAAATGTATAAATAAAGAAAATGGAGGATGCATTGAATAATCAAAAAATTGTAATGGTTTAAATGATGAAGTTTAATGTTAAGTTGGTTCTATTGAAGGATTATGTTTTTGGAATACTAACAATAGGAAATGTGAAGATCGTACTTGTGATAATGCTAATAATGTTAATTCAAATAAACAATGCAGACAATGGTTGTAATCTTGTATTTTTAAGGAAAAAAATAAATGTGAAAGCTACAACAATTATTAAAAGTTATGCAGTTAATTTCCAATAAATATGAAGTTTGATTCTCATGAAGAATGTTAAGCATGGAATCCTAATTGTACACTTAAATTAGGACAAGCATGTTTTACTGAAGATTTATGTAATAAATATAAAACATAAGAATTATGTAAATTTAATTCAAATGGAGATTAATGTAAGTGGAATGCTACTAATCAATGTGAAGAAAATAAATGTGAGAATCTTACAAATCCTAATGATGATAATTCTTGTTTCTAACATTCTCCAACTTGTACAATTAGAACAACAACAATTGATGGAGTGACGATAAAAACCTGTATAATTAGATAATAAAAATGTAATACTATTCTAAATTAAAAAGAATGTGAGAATCATTCTCAATAGGAAAAATGTGTTTGGAATAGTTTTGGATAATGTTCAGCTGTCATATGTATTTATAATAGCTAAGATTCTAAATGTGAGGACAATAATCTATGTTAAATTGAAAATCCTACTTACTCAAATTGCAAAGAGAAAAATGAATAATGTATTCTGAATGAATTGGAAAGCAACTGTTAGTTAATTTAATCTTGTCAAGATACAACAACTTACTCAGATTATAATTGTGAGAAAATTAAATATAATAAGAGTTGTTAAAAATGGGATTTTTAATCTGGCTGTCAAATTTTAGCTGAAAATTGTTCAGATTATAAATATTAAGAAATTTGTATAATGAATTATACGAAAAAATAATGTTATTGGAGTATATTAAAAAATAAATGTTTGAATTTTTCATGTTCTGTAATTGAAGAGAAATTAAATAGTCATAATGATTGTTAAAATATCTCTTTGAAATGCACTCTTAATGTTGATATTGATATATAATCTAATTGCATGGAATTGAAATTATGTAAAGATTATAGAAAAAGAGAATAATGTTATATAGATATTAATAAATAGTAATGCAGTTGGATAAAGAATAAGTGTATTTTTGATAAATGTAAGACTGTTCCATTGGATATTTATACTATAGAGAAATGTTAGAATTTTGGAATAGAATGTACAATAAATGAAGATAGATCTGGATGTATCACAAAATTAGATTTATGTGAATAATACAATAAATTATAATGTTTAACTCCGAATCAAAGTAATTATGATGAAATTTAATGTTTTTGGGATTAATCTAGTAATGATTGTAAAGAGATTATATGTCATAAAGCAAATAAATAAATACTAGAATAAATAGAATGTGAATAATTTAATTATAATTGTTAAACAAAATAATGTAAAATATCTATATGCATGGATTATGAATATAGTTCAGATATTGAATGTTCATAAGTTTTAATAAAGAATAAATGTACTACAGATGGAAAATAATGTGTAAATAGAAATTAATG